GTGGCCCCCCAGCCCACCCTGGTCCAAAGAAATGGAAGGAAGCCTGGGTCCAGCTCCTCAGAGGGCCCCTCCCACCCAGCACCCACTCCACCTCCCCAGTGCAGGCAAGGCTGAGAGCGAAGGGGAGTAGACAATGGGGTACACCGTTTTCCCCTGTCTCCTTTGCTCACACCTGTTTCCCCCGTCTCCTGTGGCTCAGACTGTGGTGAGGAGGATGAGAGGCCACACATCCCCCATCCCACCACTACCCGGCAGACTGCGCCACTATTTACCACCCAGTACACCCCAGCCCAGCCACACCACACCACACCCACAAAGATCATCCGGCCATTGGGGACCAAAGTCCTTCCTAGACTGAGGGCAGGTGACCACAGCTGGCCAGATCTGAGCGCCGCAGACTCTCAGCTTCCAGGTCTCAGGCTCCCGGTCGGGCCCGCCTCCATCCCTCCACAGACATGAAGGGGACCTGGGGGGCTCTGCTGCTGCTGGGCCTGGAGATACACCTCTCCCTCGGCGTCATCCCAGGTAAGAAGCCCCACACACCCAGCCCCAACACACGAGGGTCTGCCTCAGCCTGACCCTGCCTCTGCTTCCCTGTGGCTAGCCGAGGAGGAGAACCCGGCCTTCTGGAACCGACAGGCAGCCCAGGCCCTGGACGCTGCCAAGAAACTACGGCCCATCCAGGGGGCCGCCAAGAACCTCATCCTCTTCCTGGGAGACGGTGAGTTGAGAGGCCTGCCTGCCCACCTTGGTCCCCACAGCCCCTCACCCCCGGCTGCCAATGGCCACAAACGAAGAAGTTTTAGGCTCAAACCTGACAGCTTCCATTTGTTCAGGGATGGGGGTGCCCACGGTGACAGCCACACGGATCCTGAAAGGGCAGTTGAATGGTAAGCCAGGGCCTGAGACACCGCTGGCGATGGACCTCTTCCCGTACCTGGCTCTCTCCAAGGTAAGGGGGCGTGGGGGCTAGAGAACCCAGAGAGAGGGTGGGTCTGGGTTAGGGCCAAGGATGTGCATGGGCCCATGGGCCCAGAGAGTGTGTCCTCAAGCTCCACCTGAAGGAACCTCTGTCCCCAGACATACAACGTGGACAGACAGGTGCCAGACAGCGCAGGCACAGCCACGGCCTACCTGTGTGGGGTCAAGGGCAACTACAAGACCATTGGCCTGAGTGCGGCTGCGCGCTTTGAGGAATGCAACACGACCTATGGGAACGAAGTGGAGTCAGTGCTGAGCCGGGCCAAGAAAGCAGGTGGGCAGAGGGCAAGGCCTCTGGGCAGGGACATCTACCCCACCCCAAACTGACTTGCCACCCTAAGCCCCCAACCCTCACCTGCTTCCCTCAGGGAAGTCCGTGGGCGTGGTCACCACCACCCGAGTGCAGCATGCCTCACCTGCCGGCACTTACGCCCATGTGGTGAGCCGAGACTGGTACTCAGACGCCGACATGCCTGCCCAGGCCCTGCAGGAGGGTTGTCCAGACATCTCTGTGCAGCTCATCAGCAACGTAGACATCGACGTGAGCACAGGGCAGCGGGAGGCAGCAGCCTGAGCCTGGGACCCGCCTGGGTTTCCCTGGTGGTCCTGGGAGGGGACAGGGAGAGGGGCACAGGGCCAGCCAGGCCCCAAATTCACCTCTCCATTCACTGATCGCAGGTGATCCTGGGCGGGGGCCGCAAGTACATGTTCCCCAGGTGGACCCCAGACCCCGAGTACCCAAGCCAGAGTGGCTTCAGGCTGGACGGCCGGAACCTGGTCCAGGAGTGGCTGGACAAACACCAGGTAGCAGGCCCAGGGGTGCGGGGCAGGGGCTTCCGGGCTGTGGGCTGTGGGCTGTGGGCTGAGCTGCTCCT